TAGTTGTATTGGCTAAATATTTGTGAACAATGGGTTAGAAATACCGTTTGATCGAAAAAGAAACCGCGTCATAGACGCCTGGGGAATGACAATAGTTGCTAGTTTCGGCGAGGTCAATCTCTAGATGCCAGTTTCTAAAAATTGACATAAAACTTATCAAAAATTAATACTAATTTTCTAACATCCAAAAATGATTGAATGTTTCCAGACTCACAAATCTACTTCCAAAAAAATATTTTTTCTCGAATTTTAACATTATTAAAAAATAATTTTTACTAATATAAAAATAAATTACAACCTTCTTAAAGTCAATTGGCAGTAGGCGCCATGAAAAAATAAAGAATAGTACGGGCCAAGTAAATGGAGATCTAGGGCTTGACCTCGCTCATAATAATAATTATTGATTGTCATTCCCCAGCCGTCTTTGACACCGTTTTTTTTTCGATCGTATGGTACGTTACGATTTTTTTCGGTAAATATGCGATAATATAATATAGCTGCTTGAACGAAAACAATGATTCCAAATAGCAATATGTAGCATCCACAAACACTAATTCTGAATCAGCGTACCTACACGGAAATTACAAAAAATTTTATATTAAAAGGTTAATTCATAATTACTCACATTCGACAATAGTTGTGGAGTCCTTTTTACAGGAAGTTGAAATTTGTATATTTGTGGTATCTATATTACACACTTTTATGGTGCAAGGTATTTGTGGTAGCACAAATACACATTCTAAAATTATAATATTTGTGGAACAGGTTTCCACAATTAATAAATGCCAATAACTTTCTTACGGTGGAGTGTATAGACATATAAATTATATTTTTAGGTCGTGGACAGCGAGTTCGTATCATTTCGTACAAAAATAGAGATGCTACCACAAATGTCTTTACTGCACGGTTGTCACAAATATGGTCATACGTGTATGTGTGTGTGTGTGTGTGTGTGTGTGTGTGGGCCAACTATTTTATGGATATGGATGTTTAGTCTGCGCCTTAGTTTGGCTATTTTAATCTAACTCTTTCCGTATGAGAAGCAAGGGGCATATTATACGTGAAAGAGCGGAATCACATAAGTAATAAATTTAGACTAATGCAATATTTTTTCTTGGCGCGTAGGATAAGTAAATTAAAGGCATAGGCATTAAAGGGAATAATTAATTAAATCATTAAGTTTCAAAACATAACTACTCGGGTCTCATCGGATCTGCTGTCTGCTGATACATTTTGCTAAAATTTAGGCTATTAGGACCTATGTTTTTATGATTATTATTTTTTTAATTACCACCACCATACCAGCCATTACTCGCTGACAAGTATTCAACACACATCAGAAGATAGTCACGCAAGGCGTTTTCTTTCATGAGCTTTTCTGTGACTGAAAAGCCCGATACGTGATGTTATCTGCCTACCGCACTCCGGACATTCAAAAATCTCATTGCTTTGTTACCTCTTTACTTTTTGGTTGTCGCTGTTAACTGAGTTTACAACTCTACTCCATTGAGTTCTATTGTGAGCTGCTTCTTCTGCATGTTAATCCCCTTTAAGTTTTCGTGGAAAATGTCCTTGTGCTTTTTCAGTTGTCCACCCGGCCTCCTCTTACCGTCTACAAGCTCACCGTAAAGCAGAGATTTTGGTATGCGGTTTTCTTGCAATCTGCATACGTGACCAGCCTTAAGCGGGGTTTTGTAACCATGACTTCAATACTCTAGCAGTTAACTTTTTCAAGGACCGATACGTTTGAGACATGATGGAACCACCGGATTCTTAAGACTTGTCTCTGTTGCAACTTGTTTAATGCGTTCATGTGTCGGCGGTACGGCACCCAGGTTTCACTCCCATATAACATGGTGGGGATTATAAATGCTCGGTACACTGCAAGTTTTGTTTTTGTACACAAGTCATGATTGTAGAAAACCCTGTAGTTTAATTTCCAGAATGCTCTTGAGGCTCTGCTAATCCTGTGCTGAATTTCAGAGTCAATATTGGCCTTTTCCGAAATCAAACTGCCGAGGTAATTGAATTCCGCCACATATTCCAATAGTTCATCTCCGATTTTTATAGCATTGTTATAATCTTCCGGGGGAGTGCACATGATTTTAGTTTTGTCGATGTTTAGCTTAAGGCCCAAAGCCCCGTATGCCCAGGTATATGTGTTCAACATTTCTTGTAATTGTTGTACAACTAGAGCGCAGTCATTATTTTTTTAATTAACAATTTAGAACAAAGAAAAATCTTGCATGGTTTCCACTGCCAACATGCAAAAACAAATGAATCCAAGGCGTTGCCAAATATTTATTGGGATAAGATTTTATCGTTTGAATATTGATGTAAATAATAATTATCATTTAATTAGTGCTAACTTATCAAAGTTCACAACACGACAAAATTTCAACAAAATCGGCCAACGGATCTTTGAGATTAATAAAAAAGGTCTATTAGAAAACACCTTGACACCCTGCATCTTTAAAATTATACATTTCCGGACACATGTTTTTGTGAACTTTTTACCTTAAAAACACTCAAAGAATCATCTCCTGAAACTTGGCTAGATACTTAATTAACACACTGTATCTAAAAATGGCTAGCTAGTGATTTAGTAAGCTAGGTATGCTTATTTTAATGGGGGAAAAATGCCATTTCATAAAAAATAAACAAACCCATAGTACAAATAATATACCTACACTAATTAATTAATTTTGGTTTTGCATTAATAAAAATATTGACCTAATCTAAACTTAATCTAAACTGACCCCCGTTTTTGCATCATAGTGTCGTATGTTATAGTGTCGTGACCATTCACGAATCCGCACACATTTCTCTCCATCAATAATATTTTCCTCACTAAATTCTTCACTTTTACAAAAAGACATCACGATAAACATCAAATATCAAAATTATTTAACGTTGCGAACGGTTCGCTTGTTCACTATACATATTATCTGGAATATATTTGTGAATGACGATTAACGATACGTTTACGTTAGACTGCCGAAGTGCTGACGTCACGAATGTCAAATTGCTTTCCAAACAAGGTTTAATTCTTTTATATTTCTATTGAGCTCTTCCAAATGACGTCACAATTAATATAAAATGTAAAAAAAACAGGTGATTGACGACAACCGGCGACTTGTGTCTGGTATCTTCAATACGCCTTTGATGGTTGCGCATGTTGCAAAATCTGTGAATTTTTTTACTAGGCATATAGTATCTTAGGATTTAACAACTTATTGCCCTGCAGAGTTTATACATTTTGTTGGGACCAGTTAGACCTACTATAATATTGTAAAATTAATCCCAAAATTAAGAAATTGGCGCTTATCAAGTTTTTTCCCTGGGACCCTTCAATTGTTTTCCTTCATTAAAACACAGATTCACAGCCCACCGTCCATGATATGAGCCGTTTACTGCACAATTCCTTAAAAAATCTTAAATTTAAATATTAAACCACTTGGTATACAGGGTAATTAAAATTCGAACCAAACCATGAGGACGCCAAAAACTATAGGAGATTACGAAGATGGTTAAATTAGAGCAAAGTTGTCCATTACAGTCGAATAATATGCCGTTTAGAAACATTTAAAATCCGAGTATTTTCGGAAATATGCGAGAAAAAACGAAAATTAAAGATTTCAATTGTATTTTTTTCTTACGTTATTTGACAAGGTATTCCAAAACAAAAGGCAGATTTTCATTTCCACTTTTTTCCAGTTAGCCAAACAAGCTACCCAAGCTTAACCAAACCAGCTACCCAATAGTTGTCTTCAAATTTAACATTCCACGTTTCGTCTTTTGACCACCATCATCAACTTCATGTATTCTTGTGGGCGTCATACCAGATTTGTATACATTTAAATTGATAAATTAATTGCGATTCTGACGATGTACAGGGTGGATCATTTTGGTTGTTTCTATAGGGTATCTAGGAAACCGTAAGAAATATTCAAATTTTGGTACTGCAGTCTCGGGTTCTTTTTTTGAAAAAATAAAAAAAAAGTTTCGAAGCTACAGGGGGATATTCGATTTTGATGTCAATATGACTCCTATTTGTATTACGCTCAACCTACATATTTTTTAACTGTTTTGAAAGTAATAACTTTTTGTCCGTACCTGTATAAAACTACTGAGTAAAAAAATATACATCTCCGTAACTTTTTACGTAAAAAATGTCTTCTGGTAAAAATCGCTACGAGCAACCGTTCTCAAGATATTTAGAATGTAAATAGTCAATACATGTCATTATTGACAAAAAATAAATACGTTGAGAAGTTAGTTGTTTGACTGAAAAAATAAATTTGAGAAATTGTTATTTTTTTTAAATTAATCATAAATTTTTCTGCGAAAAAATGATGATAAAACAGTTTCTGTTGAACTTCTGACACAAAAACATTTCAAATTTATGATTTCAGTCTAATAACCATTTAGTCAACATGTTTAATTTATGTCATTGATGACAGGTATTGATCTTTTCGATTCCAAATATCTCGAGAACCATTATTCGTAACGATTTTTACCAAGAGACCTTTTCTACGTAAAAAAACGTCGTAAATGTATATTCTTTTACTCAGTAGTTTTATACAGGTGCGGACAAAAAGTTATTACTCTTTAAACCAGTTAAAAAATATATAGGTGGCGCCCTCTACAAGTAGGAGTCATATTGACATCAAAATCAAATTTCTCATGTCAAAAAACCCCCCTGATACCAATTTTCATCCAAATATTGACGTTACTTCAGAAATTATTTGGAAAAAATCAAAATAAAAATGAAACTTCTACACCCTGTGTCTCCGAAACTAAGCATTTTAGAACATACATTTATACGAACTTTTTTACTTATTTTAATGTGTAAAATGTGCTCCCGAAGTTTCCGGAGTACAGTTCGGACCACCCTGTATATAAATAAAACCAAAGTCTCGAATAGTGTAAACATAGCTATTGAAATATTGATTTAAGGTTCAAGGGACAAACTATAAAAGGAAAGGGCTTATGCCGATCGTCATTATTTGGTTAATTTTATATCGATCGAATAGTTTTCAGTAGAGGTGAAGATGAATCTCATCATGTTTGGTGCTTTTTGTCTGGTAGCCGTATTTGTTAAAGTGAGTATCTATTGTTTTTCAGCTCATTTTTAAATATTGTAAATTATTTTAACAAGCCTAGACAAAGTTTAGTTTCAATTAACGGTTAACAGGATGTAAATGAATGAGTATATAAATATAGTTTTTACCATATCGTCGGTAAACTGCTAACTCCAGTATCCCTAATTTTACAGGAGAGCAAAAAAACCATACAAAAAAATATGTACACATGTAGGAAGTATTTTCAAGCGTTAATATGATAAAGAGATAAGAATTTTATTTGCTAGGGAACAATAACACTCAATATTTCGTGTTACATAATTTTTTTCAGACACAATATAGAGATAGCAGATATTCGTCTTGCAGAAATAAGAAATAAAAATATACTTCTGGAGATAGCAACCTTTATTGTTTGAAATTTTGAAAATGGAATTGAATATTACCCAAACACATTTAGAAATAATGAATTAAATTTAAAAAATAAGATATTCATAACCATATATTTAGAATATCGTCGGTCTAGAAGCAAAACATGCAAGTCAAAAAACGAATAAATTTTTAATGCATTTTTAAAGAACCGAAGTCGTAGCATTTTGGACTTAATGAATATGAAAATAATTTAAAAATTAAACTTATAATTCTTAGAAGATAGACTCAATCCTTCCACGCTTATCCTAATTTTTATACAACCGTAGACCGAGCTTGAAAAACAGTGCATGATTTTATTAAATTGTTATTACTTTTCTCCTTATTTTCTTAATTTTTATAAAAATTATTTATCATTTACGTGGAAAAACATTGAAAAAAAAAATTGATTAGGTATTATGGAAATTCTTGTGCAACTAAGTAATGTTATTTAAACTATTTATAGCAAGCCGATGAATTGCTCGTATACAGGGTGCTACAAATTCGAGATACGAGCATTGGTATCTCGGTAACCGTATTAGATACGAACATGGTTAAGTTGGGGCAAAGTTGCGCCTTTAGGATGTTCACCAAGATGCCATCAAAAAAGTTTTAAAAATTTCAAGGATTGCTGAATTTTTTGAAAAAGACGGATTTTTTTGAAAATAAATTTTATTTTTTTCTGTCGTTACTTTTTAGAAAATCAAAAAACTAATTACACTTTCTCATAGCCACTTTATTAGAGCTATCTGATGCTATTTTTAGATTTTCAAATTAGCTGATAATTTGTGAAAAAACTCGGTCTCCTGAGTACAACGGTATGCCACACTTGGTACTTTTTTTTTGTTTTGGGTGCCTTAACAATAACAAAACTATTTAATTGTTATTTAAAATAATTTCAAATCCGGCTCTGGTTTTTTAATTTATTTAATCTGATTATATTCATCATAACAACAATAATAATATTGATCAACGCTAATTTACATTGAATAAGGAAAATCAATAAAAATTGTTGGACATTTGAAATCAATACATTTCAACATTAAGAGTACAAAAACAATTAAGGAGTACAAAATGCATTCGGAAGTATAAAAAGAAGATCTGTTCAAAGAGCTATAAATAAGATTGAACGAAAAACAAATGTGTGCATTATGGATGGCGGTAACCCTTTCGAACATGCAGAGCATTAGAAACAAGTTTGTAGAAATTGATTTATTTATAATAACTACGATTAATATTTATGCATATTATTAGATCGTACACTGAGATTTCAAATTCACAATAAAACAGTTAAAAATAATAGATATCTTTAAATTGCTGACCTTGATATTAATTATTTGAATATTTCAATTGACGTGATTTTCCTTATTCAATGTTAATTAGAGCTGGTCAATATTGTTGTGCTGAATATAATCAGATTAAATAAATTAAAAAAACAGAGTCGGACTTCAAATTGTTTTAAATAACAGTTAAATAGTTTTGTTACTGTTAAGGCAATCAAAACAAAAAAAAGTATCAAGTGTGACATATCATTGTACTCAGGAGACCGAGTTCTTTCAAAACCTGAAATAAAAATTGCAGGTCCGTATTTAAAAAAATTAAGTTGGCCTCTGTATCTCACAAATTATCAGCTAATTTGAAAATCTAAAAATACCATCGCATAGCTCTAATAAAATGGCTATGAGAAGGTGTAATTAGTTTTTTGATTTTCTGAAAAGTAACGACAGGAAAAAATAAAATTGATTTTCAAAAAAATCAGTTTTTTCCAATAAACTTAGCAATCCTTGAAATTTTTAAAACTTTTTTGATGGCATCTTGGTGAACATCCTAGAGCGCAACTTTGCCCCAATTTAACCATCTTCGTACTGTTTGACCAGCGGATCTGAAGCTACGGAAGGAATGCGATGAAAAAAAATCGATATTGCCACGTTTATCTATAAAATTGCAAAATTGCCAGACATGAACTATAAATTTAGTATATTTTTATTATATATAATGTGTTTAGCATATATTCTGACGTATATTACTAAGGAATTTTAACGTAGTTCATATTGTTTTATTTAATAACTTATTTCTTTCATTCTGTATAATCTGCTTATTACGAAAGGTGAAGATATTTCAACGATATCATTGGCAAACCGGCATCGCCGCGCACGGCCGCCTATTCATCGAACATGATTGGCGAGAGTACGTCACAGGATTTGTTACCACGCGGTTGCCATGGCTTTTACGCCTTTCCTATTCGCTAGCCTTATCCCCAACTTCACGGTTACTTCTGAAAAGAGTAGAAATATTGAATACTATTGAAATATCCAGTGGCGGTGTCATTGTTTTGATCATTATTACTTTCTCTCATTATTTTATACCGGTTATCCTAAACTTTATTCCTATATTTTTCGTATATTTAATAGTTAAAATGTGTTTTATTGTTTTGTTATATTGTTATAATGTTTTTCGTTCGTAGTTTTTAATTATTAATATTAAGTTTGATCGTATATTTGTGTTTTAAAATGAATAAATTTGTTAAGGGTAAGATGCTACATAGCCAGGACAAGAGAAATAATAGCTAATTTATATAGGTAAGTAGAATAATAATAATGTAATTATTAGAATACTAAAATTAAATATTGGCTAAAATGAAAAGCACCCACATTTTACCTAAATATTTTAGCTAAACTAACATATTTTAGCTAAACTAACATTTGGTTTATTTCCTTGTGTTCATAACAGGGTTTGCGACGAAGAAGCTACAGAGAGTTCGCTTAAGTTGCCGCTTAAACGTAAACTTGAGCGGATATCTCTTTATACCGGAGTTCGTATCGGCAATAAAAATATTCACACAGAAGATAAAAAAGACTGGAAACTAACCCCGATAAAATGATATCCAGCCCTGGAAAGAAACGGCTACGTGAGCTCGACGACTTTGATTTCCAAGTGGTCAGGAATTTGATAAATAGATTTTATCTCGAATTCAAAGTCGTCCCCACAATTAGAAAGCTTTTGCAAAAATTGTAGGAAGAATCGAATTTTCCTTTGGCAGGGACACGCTTAGGGGGTTATTAAAATCAAATGGATTTTTTTGGCGTAAATGTTAAAATAACAGATAAATATTAATGGAGCGGCTCATTATATTGCAGAGAGAGATATAAATATATACGCGAAATTCGAAAATATCGCCAAGTATTATCTATTTGGATGAAACATGGGTAGACAATGACCTAGCCTTTAAAAAGTGCTGGCGGAGCGATACCATATCTAGTGTAATAGGCAATATTGGATCTACTGGTGAGTAAAATTATGATTTGTTTGCGCTTCCAAAGTTAACTATTTTCAAGATTTTTTTTTGCTGGAAATAGTTATATCTAAAATTATGTATTGTAGAAAAAATTATAGTTAGTACAGATATATAAATAAATATACCTCAAGACTCAGTCTTGATCATCTGCTGATGATGTTAACATGGTTAGCGAAGCGTGCGCTCAGTGTAAAAGTAAAAGTGTTTTGATGTATTGTGCTGAATTAGTGTTTTATTTTGCTGTGTAACACCAAAGGTTCCAACCCCTAGCTGTAATTATTTCTTCTATTATATTAACAACACATAATAATAAAATTATTTAAAATATTTAAGGGAGCTTTAATAAAAGCTTTTAGTGTGTTTATCTGCTAACTCAACAGTAACGATTCAAACAGGATAAAGTTTTTAGAAAAATATTATTAATCTGAATATTATATTTATGATACACATTATTTTCATAAAACACCGTACGCCCATGCCTATTTTATGAATGAAATTGGGCGTGTCATGTTTACAACTGCGTTCCCCTGCCGATACCCCGTAGCTACAGATCCGTTGGTCACACAATATCTATTACGGTTTCCGAGATACCAATGCTCGTACCTCGAATTTGTAACATCCTGTATAGAGAATTTCGTTTTTCCCCTTACCCTTTACTGATACCTCGTATTTACAGAACGGATCGACGCAGGATCGGACTGGCCATATTATATATATAACTATTAGGGGGGCCCCAGCCTTGGCGGCCCTTTATAGTTCATTATTTACTATTAACAATATTTGCTTTTGCATTACATTATGGCATTTGCATTGCGGTGGTTTACCTTGTATTAGGGTAGTTCCCTGATTTCTATACAGGGTGAGTCTTAAATAAGTGTAAACGTTTTCAGGGCTGGTAAATCTCGATAAAAGAAACATAATATTTTCTCTTTGCCGATTTTTCAAATAAATCCAAAACAACCGACTTACTTCACTTTTAAAATTTCGAATTTTTTGCTATAATTTTGACAATCATTGGATTTTCTTTCTTGTAAATTTAATCTACTACCTATGTTGCCATATTTCAAACAAAGTATCTTTTTAAACTAAAAATTAAAAAAAAATCCAAAATTTAAAAAAAACGAATTTCCAAAAAAAAAATTCGCGCAAAAAACCTCATAATCGTGTTTCTTGGGTCGAAATATACTACCCCTAAAAATATTTACACTTATTTAAGACTCACCCTGTATATAATAGGGAAAAATTGACCAGAACGTAAGACGAAAAAATACGCAGAAAAATCCACACTAGCCCCTCCTGACATTGCCACCCGGGACCCTTTGGCCTAGTGCAAGTCTGGATCGACGTACTGTACTAAAGAAATATACGAGTAAGAATCCATGTGTTTGCTTTAGCTTGATCATAACGGAAATTATGGGGAGATAGCAGCATTTCGGTGGCTATTTCAGATCACTGGGAGTTAGCAGATATTATTGAGTTAAAATAGCGTATTTTCTTTAATGGGAAAACATGTATTTGCTTTCCCTACTTATAGAGTATTTTTTTCTCTTTCTAATGGTGTAAAAAACTTATTAACGTAAAAAATTGAGTTTGCAGGTTATCACGTTTCACTGACAATATAAAATTTTCCTATTTGGCGGTCCCTTAAATAATTATTTACTTGTAGAGGGTGCACCAAAGTTACTATTAATAAATCAATAAATTCCTCTCGAAATTTATAGAACATGTTCATCGTGCCCCCATGTTACGTCATATTTCAATATTCTAACAAATTTTTAGCACTTCTCTAATGGGATTACCAATAAATAAATAGTAGTAAGCTAATTAATACTAATATAAAAATACTAATCTAATGGGATATACTTACTACTTGCTAATTTTTATGTACACAACCAAACGGAAGATGCTGTAAACAAAGTTTTCATAGCCCTTTTCGTTTCTGAGCTACAGGGTCTTTTCGAAAAGTTTGCTATTTGGGATAGCCTCCTATCTCCTTTATTGTGGATGATATGGAGAAGGTGAAAACTGATTCTTGTAGAGCTTTTACGTAGAATACAGTGGCGTAGTCTGTTTTTTTACGAAAAAGATAAAAATATGAACTAAAGTTTTTTTTTCAAATGGAACAACCTGTATATTTATATATTTATAAACCATATGATCCGTCTTGCTATGAGTTTCTTAAAAATACAATATCACTCTATATTCATTTTTACTATTTAATGCAATATTTAAAATATATCATTTTCATATTAGTAGACCGTGTTAAATAACAAAAAAAAAAAAAATGGTATATAATTAAATAATCAAACACATATTAACATTTTATTTGGGATTGAATATATTTTACTTCTGAATTGTTACCACTGAATCCCTGAATATAAGTGTTTTTCTTTTTTTTTTGTTTATAACGGAATTTATTCTAACCGGATGGGTTTGCAAACATCTATAAGCTTGCATTATTAAAGCATTTTCCAGGTGTTCGCCATAGTTGTAGTTGCAACGAGATATTTCATATATGAAAAATCCCCAAAATCAGAAATCGAGAACCGACAAATCCGGAGGCCATCATAAAAAGCCAGAGGCCATAATATGGGTCCATTGATACTCATTGATTTGATAAATAACAATTTTAACTAACCCTGTATATCGTAATTTTTCGATACTCGTTGCCTAAGACCTAAGATTTTGAAATATATATGGTATAGTAAAAACATTTAATTTGTAGCTAGTTGGTTTTCCGTATATGATAATTGCTTCAAGTCATCTTAGAAATACTTTGAGAAAATTTTTTATTATATGGTATAAAACATCACTAAAAATTATATAGATATGTTAATAATTCCTCTTTTTCTTTTATTTCTAGTATTACCTTACAAATGAATCACCCATGGCTTCCTTGAAGCGGAGTTTAATTGACATTTTGCAGAAATTCTAACGACCATGGATAATAAAAACGACTGCATTAAACACACTTTTGGAATAATACATTTATTCTTATAAATATGATTATAAACAGGATTTACATTAGTATCTATTTGATATCAAAATAAAGGATTCCATAATATTTCATATTATTATATGCAAGTAAGAAATACCCAATACATATATCATACATATTCTATAGGTTAATATCAATCAATAGTGTTTTTAATGGCAGAATAGATTGTTACCATAGCAGGAATATTATTTTTTTTTAAATATATACTATATTGCCAAATTATTGTTTTTATTTGTTTATAATGTTTTACTGTACAGGGTGAGTCAACAATAGAGTAAAGTCCATTATCTCATTTCTTTCGAGGTTTACAAAAAAAATGTTGACTACAAAAGTTATAGGGAAGATTAAGATACACATTTTAAAATTATTATAGAGTATACAGGGTGCTTCAAAAAATGTGGCGGATATAACTTCGTTTTTTTAAAGGCAACACCCTATTTTTTATTTCATTTTTAGATTCTGCGTAAAATTTTATAACTTTTTTTATATATAGCGTTATATACCTAAAATTAATAGCTTTTGTAATATTTAAATTTGTTTATACAAATGTTAAATTGCAGTTCGGTAAAAAATTGTCAGTGGTACCATTGTTTCTGAAGTTGGAATACCAAAGTTTGCTATGAGAGTTCTATAGAGATTAAAAAGAAGATATATGTTAAGATATTTTAGTTAAATGCTACAGGGTGTTCAAAATATATTTATAAATTTCAACTACTTAAAATTTAAAAATCTAAAAATTTTTAAATGATTTTGAAATTGATTTTTTCTGATAGTTTTTGCAAAGCTCTTCAACTTTTATTAAGTATATATACCTATTTTTAATAATTTGCGATGTATTCCAATTTTTTCTATTTTTACCCATATCTTTAATACAATTACGCTATAACATCATAGCTACCATGACAAAAAATAATAATTATTATCAAAATTTCATATACATGTTACGCAATAAGTTAAGAACAAAAGGTGAATGTTTAATTTGTTGTAATAGGTATAAATGGTAGAGGTAGAGGTAATAGTCTTGATAATAGATTTTCTTGAAAATGGATTAGTCAATGTGACTGATATACAGGAACAAGCCAAAATAAACATATTTTTTGGTTCAGTACTATATATTATATAGTACTTTGGTAAGTACTATAAGAATAGATGTAGATTATCTAGAAAACATTTTCATATTATATTATATTATAATAGTCAGTCGTCGTCAACAATTAGGTAATCTAGTTAGTATTACCCTAATCTGTGGCTATTCGGCACGACGGAAAATCCAAATGTCATCTTTCATAATGTAGAAATACACCAATAAATTCACGACTATGATTTTAGTTTATTTGAGTAAAGTCAGTTAATTTTGACTAATAATAAAAATTTTAACTAATTATTAAACTACTTGTTAAAAATAAGTAATAAATATGTTTGTTTTGTCACGGCAACTATGATGTTATAGCGTAATTGTATTAAAAATTAGGGTAAAAATAGAAAAAATTGGAATAAATCGCAAACTATTAAAAATAGGTATATGACATAATTAATAAAAGTTGAAGAGCTTTGCAAAATCTATCAGAAAAAATGAAAATATATAGGGTATACCCGGGTATACCATTTAAAAAATTTGAGATTTTTTAATTTTAAGTAGTTGAAATTCATAAATATATTTTGAACACCCTGTAGCATTTAACTAAAATATCTTAACATATATCTTCTTTTTAATCTCTATAGAACTCTCATACCAAATTTTGGTATTCCAACTTCAGAAACAATGGTACAACTGAAAATTTTTTACCACACTGCAATTTAACATTTGTATAAACAAATTTAAATATTACAAAAACTATTAATTTTAGATATATAACACTATTTATAAAAAAGATATAGAATTTTACGCAGAACCTAAAAATAAAATAAAAAATAGGGTGTTGCATTTAAAAAAAATATATGTTATATCCGCCACACATTTTTGAAGGACCCTGTATACTGTATAATAATTTTAAAATGTGTATCTTAACCTTCCCTATAACTTTTGTAGTTAACATTTTTTTGTAAACCTCGAAACAAATGAAATAATTGACTTTACTCTATCGTTGACTCACCCTGTACACAAAAAAATTGAAAAGCCTAACACAAACCGTATCTAAGTAACAGATCCCAAATAAAAACACTTTCCTTTTGTTCTTCATCGACATCGACAATACCCACCAAACATGCTAATGGGGTTTGGTTTCATAATAATAGCAAAGGGCAAATTCGTCTGTGTGTCTTCTTTTTTAGCGGATTGTTAACTGTCCGTATTTTTATCCTATGTTCACATTGTTCACTTTCTAAATCAAGTTTGGGCTCTTCAGAACTCGTATCCTGCTTATTTAGAAGACGCTTTTTTGTTCTAAATCTATGAAAACCACTGATATGTTGATTATTTTATAAAATTGTAGCTATTAAGTTTCAAAAGTTACCAAGAAGGCCCAGTTGCCGGGTTCCCAACAATGCCCAAACTCGGTTCAGGTGGAGTTCAGACTTAAACCAAGTTCAAAATTTTAATACGTTGTTTAATGACTTCTTAGCGCTGATATTAGAATAAAAACTTGGCTTTTAATCATCTTATAATCTTATACTGCCAGAAAAATATACCTCAATAAAATTTCCGAGCGAAATTTTATTAGGGTATCTATACTAATATATAAAATCTTTAAGTGACTGACATACTGATTAATCACGCGATCCTGCTCAAACCACTCAACGTAAGAAGCTCAATTTTGGCATACTGGTTAATTCTAGGGTGTAGAGGTTCGATAAGAAGGGATTTTTCGAAATTCCAGTTCCAAGAGGGTGAAACCAGCCCTCAAATATTCCAATATTTTTTATTTAAAGAACGGTCAAGTTTCCGAAAAAACGCTTAAACACGTATATTTTGTTTTGTTTTTTTACATATTTTAAGATTTTTTAAAAATGTATACAGGGTGTTTCGAAAAATCTGGTCATTGATTAATCACGATCCTGCTTAAAGCGCTTGACGTAGAAAGCTGGTTTGTGGAAAACAGATTGACTTTAGGGTGTAGAGGTTCTATAAGAAGGAATTTTACGAAACTCGAATTCTAAGGGAGTGAAACTATCCTTCAAATATTAAAATATTTTTTTATTTAAAAACCGGTGATTTTTTCGGAAAAACTCTTAAACACGTATATTTTATTTTGTTGTTTTACATATTTTAAGATTTTTTTATAAATTTATACAGGGTATTTCATAAAATATGACCATTAAATAATCACGGTTCTGCTTAAACTTCTTGACGTTTAAAGCTGATTTTTGGTAAACGGATTGACTGTGGGGTGTAGAGGTTCGATAAGGAGGGTTTTCTCGAATCTCAAATTCCAAGAGGGTAAACACGCCTCTCAAATATTACAATATTTGTTATTTAAAAAACGGTTTGGCTTTCGGGAAAACGCTTGGACAAGCATAATTTATTTGTTTTTTTTACATATTTTGATTTTTTTTTTTAAATCATACAGGGTGTTCCAAAAAGTTGGGTAATTTCTTAACCACGATTCTGCTTAAACTGCTTGATGTAAAAAGCTTATTTTTGGCAAACAAATTTTTCGAAAGTCAAATTCCAACGAGATGAAACTACCCCTCAAATATTACCAAATTATATAATAATATCGCCATATTGTTTTTTCTCATGCTGACATAAATGTGAGAAAATGTTATCCAGTTTGTATGTTAATGGAAATTCTTGCTTTGCTTTATCATCACCATCACAAATGATTAATTCGACGCGAACGAAGTCGCTGGTACACGCTAGTATTGTATATGGGAAGTTCACATTAACTCGAGTATAAGATGTGTTTGTACAACCGGGCCAAAGTGATGCTTTTGTATATTATTTCAATCTTAAAGTTTCATTCTCCCATGCTTTTTTAATTCTATTTTTATTTTTATTTTCTCCTTGCTCTGGTTTTATCAGTGAAGAAATTCCAATATCTCACCTTGCACACTCCGTTACAAAATACGTCTGCTAAACTATCTAATGTTGGATTTTTTAAGGAAATAGGATATAAACGCTACATATCATGATCAAATCTTTATTAGGTTATTAATATGTTCATTTTCGTAAATAGGTGAGCAAAATGTTTATATAGCTTGGTAGCTATACAGGGTGTCCCAAAAATAAGTGCAAATATTTTAACTGATAGTATAGTTCAACCCCAGAAACACGCCTATGAGGTTTTATTCGCAAAAACAAAAATTGAAAATTCGAAATTTTTTGGAAATTTTTTTAGTTTTTAGTTAAAAAACATAATTTCTTGATAGTATGGCAACATAGGTATTAGATTAAATTTACATGAAATAAAATCCAGAAAAGATTCAGTGGATCTCAAAATTTTAGCAAAAAATATTTTTTTTTGAAAAACGACAAAGAGAAAATATGTTTCTTTTATCGAGATCTATCGCCCCTTAAAATATTTGCACTTGTTTCTGGGACACCCTGTATAATACATTTTGCCGGATTAGCTAATTGTTTTTCCAAATAAAGTAAGAAATAAAATGAAAGAAAGATTAAATTATTATTATTTATTATTATATTTAATTAAATATCTGTTTTGTATTGTTTGATGGTAGAGTAATCTGCACCATCACTTGTCTATATTCTTCAATAATACGCACCTCGTCTAAGCCACCACCTAACATAATATAAGCATTGGCGTAACAACAGGGGTGCCCGGCCTCCACCCCCCTCGTTACTTCTGGGCACCCCCCAGAGAAATCCTGAATTATGACTCTTGGCTACGTATTAATTTTTATTTGCTTGTGATGCAGTAAAACTGACGTTTTCTAGTTTTGTCTAGTTAACATTATTTTGTTGTGTTCAAAAAATATGTTAGTTTTTATTTTTTTTGAAAATTTTTAGGTATTTAAGTAATCTACGGGAACACGGTTTGATAATCAAGTCGA